TTTAATAAATTATAAAATATATTTTTATCTTCTTGTTCATGCAACTGAAATAGCTAATAATTTAATATTATAAATAATATTATAAATAACAAATAAATAGATAATTGATTATTTATCTCAAAATTGTTCCACTGATGTTGGGCTTTCTTCTCTTGTGTTCCTTCACTGTTGTTTCTTCATGACACTTGACATACTTGAATTGAAAGCTCACTCGCGACCGCGCGCACATTGATCATCATAACACGATGGTTACATAATACTTTGCACCCCCGACGCAAACTGAATCCTCGTAGCGAACAATTTCGTTGGTGCGATGAACGAATTGCGTGAACAATGCGATGATACATGAACAGATTGACGCCGCCGCCTGTCCGCTCAAATCTGAATGATAGCACGGCGATTTTGCGTAAACACAATACACGGTATACATAGATCGAGTATAAACAATAAGGTTGCGCGCCGACTGACACACACTGTTGCCTCAAAATATTTAATAATTAATATATTTAAATATTATATATTTAATATATTATAAAATAAATGTGACGATGATATTTAGTTCTCAGTATTATATACGTACTTATTACTAATAAACGGTAAATATGTTTTACGATTTTATATTATTTGACTCGCTTAACCGAACGATTATTATATATTATTCACTTTTAGCTTGTAAAGATTTCAGCAAATTTATTCGAATCAATGAAAAATTTAATAAATGACGAAAGATTTGGCTTGAAGATTGTTAAAGAAATAATTGTTTCGATTAATAACATTGTAAAATAATAATTTGTAACTCCGTTCAATTTTCAATTCAACTGAAAATAAATTGTGCGAAATATTTACTCCAATAAACATTTCGTTGTCTCAATATGCTTATGATTCGTTGGGAATTAATTATTCGCAAGGATTATTAATCGCTAATTACCCAAAAAATGATTACATTTTCCATTATTTGTCACGATTACGCTTAAAAAATGTAATGTAATAATCTGTTCACATCGTGCAAGTAGTAACATTAACGTATTAGATGCAAAAAAAAAATATCAAGTACTGCGTATTAATTAATTTGTTACTGTCGCGAAATATTTAATATTTAAAAAATAAATTTATGTCACAAATTATGTTATTTACATTTTAAATTAACAAATGAATATTTATAATAAAATTTTGTTATACTTTGATAAAAAAAGTACTCATTTAAATTAATTTCTTCTTAACTTTTTTTCAAATTTTAATGTTTTATGATGAGTAAAACACTGTATAATGTTGATAAACAAAACAATGATAATATAATTTCTTAATTTATTGAAGTCACACTTTCGCACTTCTTGATATATATAAAGATAGGAATAATAAATTAATTTATATTTTGTAATAAAAACAAACATAAATTATGTTCTTCAAAAGATATATATCTAACAGATTTATTAATTATTTTTAAGATAATTAATTAGTTATCCTATTTTTTATTTAAAGAAAGTAAATAACTTAGTAATAAAAATAGTTAAAATTCATTATTGAAAATTAACTTATATCATTTATACTACTATTAGTATGTATCTATCTATAAAAGTTAATTGCTATAATATATATAATATAATAGTATTATGTACTATATGTAGTATAATAGTATTAAATATAAAAACCAAATAATATCAATTGAACAAGTATTGCCAGTGGCATATTTTCATCCTATTTCAACAAATTTTTTTTCTGTTTTTTCTACGTGGCAAAACGTCGTGTTTTTTTTTTCTGTAGTGGGATACTTCTCTGTCAAAAAATTGTAATCTTCCAAATGTATAAAATTTGTGCTGTTTGTTATTTGTTCGAACTTTATGGAACTACACCTTTGAATAAATGTGTAAAGAAACCTTTTTTCGGAAAAGTAGATCATGACTTTTAATTTTAATTAATATTTTTTGTTAAAATAATTCATAACATTACGTTAAATTTTATTCCACTGTGAAAGATAAATATTTTCTAGGATATTTATCTGACTATCGGAACTATAAAAAATATTACGATTTACTATGGTTTTTATTTCACTATAAAAATTACAAAAGAGAGCGTTAATAGCATTATTATCACAAATATCAGTTATATTACTGAAATCTATTCCGCCACACCTGTTTTACTGAATTGTGAACTAACATAACAAGCATATCGCGTAAATGCGCTTTATTCTAAACGCGCCGGAAATGTATCGCGCAAGTGTGTATTACTTAACTTGTTATATTCATCGCCTCTTTCTCTTATATAGTATATTGCCTCGGAATCACGAATTCTAGAACTAACGGGTTTCCACGTGCGGAAATATTAAAGTCCTAAGCCTGTGCCAGCACAGTTTGCTAATTGCGAGAAAGCGTTGTGCAAAATACCTTTATATAAAATGTTTCTATTATTATATTTTTATCTCTCAGGTAAAAGCATAATAATAATAATATTAAAAGATTTTAAAATCATTATATAGCATATTTTCAAAAATTTTAATTTATTTTATGATGATCAGTTTAATTTAATGTACAACTTAGTTTGTAAACCTTGAATACAATTCCGAAAAACCTCTAGAGAAATGCTAAGAATATTTTGTCTCTTTTTCAGTCTCTTTGCTTACGGTATAAGATATACACCAATAAACATATTCTATAATTATCTTTTCTTATTATTTTTTTTGTCGTTATATTGGCGCCCACACATTTTCTACCTTTTTTTTAGCACCATGTTTCACGAAGATTTGTGAGCACTTGGTTGCTGGCTGATCCCGCCAGCATTGTTTGCTGGCTATGGATCTTTTCTAGGTCCTTTACAGGTATCCAATCAGAAAAGCGAACAGAAACATAGAAAAACGGACAAGTCCCAACAAGGCGGCAAAACTCGACAATGGGCCCAGAATGACAAGAGCTCCAGAGGTGGCCGCGTATAATCGACAGGTAATAAAATACACTCCATGTCAAAAAGTCACCTGATTGTCTTTCTTTTTTTATATCTCTCGATAAGTGAGAAAAGACGATCCGACGTGACAAAAGATCAGGCCAAGAGATCTCGACCATTGTATCTCGTAGATTGCAAGTTCCATTTTCTCCCACCAGTGGTTCACTTCGCGTCTCGAAACGTAGTGAAGAATTTTATAAGAAGCAGAAAAGCTATCGTAAAAATAAAAAGCACGGAAAAAATATTCTAAAATTACGTTTGTGAACTCTTTCAAAAATAGACGAACAGTCATCTCTTTTCCCCTTTTTGAAAAATGAAATTGGGAACAGCGTATAATCATGAAAATACACTTTTCCATTATACGACTTATCAAATCCTCTGTTGATGAGAGTCGTCATTATATTTTTTTGTAACAATATTTGGGATATCATTGAAAACATAAAAGTTTTTTTTGTGCAGGATTTAATCCTTTGTGCCAAATGTGCTGTCAAAAATCCGATGTTTGACTTTTATTTCGATACAATATGCATAAGAATCTACACATGCTGATAATTAACAATAAAACGTTACATTCAAGCGAAAATAAAGAAATATATTGATAAATAAAAAAAAAGCGAGGTAAAAGTTGCATTCGAAACATTTAACGAGCTTCGTGAATAAATCCGTGAACCAACAATAGATGCATCGCATACCTCGATAAATCCTCTGCTCTGAAACTCACGAACGCCAAAAATACAACCAAGTATATGGCCGTTGCTTTCCTTACTTTAGTTCTGCGCTCTCTTCTGAGTTCTTTCGAGACGTTGTTGAAGAAGCGCGGAAGCTCCTCGTTTGTATTGTACGCAACGCAGTTCGCTCGTAAGTTTCGACAAAGTTTCCGCTATATCAAACAAGGATGCTCCAAAATTCACGGAATATCGTGGAAAAGCAGTCTTTTGTCGTGCAGCGGATTATCCATTGACAGCGATACCTTGATTTTCGATAGAGTTTTCGATAGATTTTACCGAAAGACAGTGCTATTGCACCGAAAATGACTATCGTGTTTTTTTCACAATTCACATATTTTTCATATTTTCATTATTTTTAGTAATGTTATATTCACATATTGAATATTTGTCTATTAAACTTAATTAATATCTACAAAAAATTATTTTTTTATTATTGAAAAAAATATGCAATTAATAATACAGCTCAAATGATTTCAAGAAAATATCAATTTTTTTCTATAAATTATTCTAATATTATATTTTTTATTTGTGAATACAATGAATAAAATTACATAATAATTCGTTTATCTGGTGATTTATTTTTTAATCTTATTAAATCTCAAAAATGCAGATGCAATCAAGTTTTGCAAATTATTGAAGAAATAAATTTGGAGCACTAATCGTTGTTTCAATAATACATAATTGCAATATTAAAAATTCACTCTCCAGATATAATCTCGTCAATGATAAAAATCACGAGATAATATCTTATTGTTAGAGAGACGTAGACGATGCAAAATTTATGAAATTCAACATTAGTCGCAGCCAATGCAGCTTTATATCTCAGGACGTTCCGAAAAGCCTGGAAACGAACATGGGTCGACTCGCATGCACTGACTGACCTCGTTCCCCTTCAACCCCCGGTCGGGGAGAGGGAGAGTCACGTGGCCACGTCGTTAATTTCGCCGTTCTTGGACTGTAGAGGACGAGGGTTATGCGCGCAACGAAAGGACACGAAGATTCTCAGAGACCGCATTCAAAAGTTCGGCCACTCAAAGGGAAATGAGAAAGATACAGCGGCCATTGGCAGATTAAAGTGATGCTCGTGGCCTTTGATCTTCCTCGCGAAACAAGCAAGAGTCGGGACGAGCATAAAATACGCCCTGAGATCTCCCAGGAGATCCGACCTGTTTTTCCCGTCAACTCTCAAATGACGACGATCAGCAGGAAGGAAAAAATTAAAGGAAGAAAAAAAAGAAAAGCACTCAAGTAGTCAAAAGAGATCTCTTTTCTGATTGAAAAAACAATCACAGTCAATGCAGGTGCGCCGAGCGATGTGATGAAAGATTCAGTACTTACGAAGACAAAATATGATTTCTTCATGGTCCTTGTCGGTGACGATCTTAGCGAAAACACTCGTCAACGATGGATCCTTTTCTTGTCGCTTGTTAACTGATGTATAACTCCCGTGTCCTCGCTGCGGAGCTCTTGTCAGAGATCGTCGAGTTCCCACCACGTGCAACTGTCACCCCTTGACAAAGGGCGCATCGAGGAACCTGTCAGGCGTCTACCCCGAGTCAGATTACGATTTCCTTTCTCTTTTGCACTTACGGATACTTATCTAAATCACTTCACCCTCCTTCCCGATCCGCGATAATGCACATAACAATTATCTGCGCGAAACACGTGTCGCGAACGATTCGTAATGCTCAGTTTAACGAGGAGCGCGACGAGAATCGAGATATGACGTCGTCGACATACGTGATTTCACCGAAAATGTTTCGATCGCGATTATCGAGAGAGAGAGAGAGAGAGAGAGAGAGAGAGAGCTCACGGTAACCGAACCCTTTGGTTTCAGGGATACCTTATCGCAGGACCTCAACTACACGTGTGTCCCTGCGTTACCGTTCGATGTCGTCGGGCCGAGGTGCGCGACGCGAGTGTCGGCCTTAACGTCTCGAAAGCGCTTGACGTTGGCGCCCGTGCGGCGTGGTGCAAAGGTGGGGGATGCAGAGGGGAGATGATCGTATATCCCTCCCGTCCCTGTTTCCCCCTTCCTACCCTCCGACCACCCACGCCACCCCCGTGGAGAACGCCACGCTCAACTCCCACGTTTCCGCCACCCGCGCTCGCCCCTGTGCACCCATCGACCCCACGACCACCCACTTCACGTCGGGGTGAGAGTGGAATAAAGTGCCGTCCGGAGGGATGGTAGGGCCGCGCGCGACGACGCAAAAGGGACGCGAGGGGCAACGGAAGAGAAGGAAACGGTGTACGAAGGGGATGAAAGACGAAGACGTCGATAGGAGAGAAAGTATAATCCGCAAAGTTGCAACGATCAGACAAGCGTCGGATTCGTTTTCATTCGCTTGATTATCCTTTTTTTTTTAACCTTTTAATTATTCTGTGATTCGTTGTCTTCTCTTCTTCGAAAAGAGGAGACGGAGATAGGCTAGTTGTTGGTAAAGTCGGATGATAAGTCGCGCGTATAGAATTGTGACTACGAACGATGTTTCCTAGTTGTGACATTTCGTATCCTTCTCTATGGGAATCGCAGCAAGACTCTAAGACCATCCGTCATTCTGCGCGTAATTTGATTTACGTCTGTCATGGCTTGCAACCCGTGTTTCTTTCACGGCTTTGCTGTCTAACCAACTATTGAAAGCGCAGTGTGTTATATTTTATATTTAATATGTCAGGTGAGTCCCACATTTATTTCAAACAAATACATAGAAGAGTAAAATAATTGACCTTATAAAATTAAATATTAATGTTACACAAATCAAGTACGTACATTTTTAAATTAAAATCATAACTTCATCATGTAAATATTTATGTTATATTCATATCTCTGCAACATTACAAACAAAATCCAGATAAACGTATATCTTCTCATTCTTTTACGAATAAATTCCCTGCTGTTATTAATAAATTTTATGTAAAATAATGAAATTATCAAACAACAATATAATGAATTAAAAATGATGGACCTTAAAGGCATCGATGCTTGTCTCACATATTTGATTTTACGCGCATGTTTTATAATTCATAATGACCTTTTATGCCACTCGCTTTTATAATAATGAAATCTCAAAGCGTAACAATATTCCAAATTCGTCTCATATAACAATGTTCGCTTTATGATGACATCGTGAGTACTATGTACTAATACGTAAAACAGCCGGAATATGAAAATTGGGAATGTTATGACGTCAGAAAGCTCGCGTTGCGAAATCGCAAAATCAGCCTGCGGTCATTGCGGTTGGACCTTAAGTCCACTTTATATGCACGAATGTACATTCCAAAACCAGCAAGAGGAGGGTTAACTTATCTCCGGGATTGTTTTTAGCGGTTATGTACGGCCACGTAAATTTTCCCTCATAATTAATTCTTATTAGATAGACTTAAGGTTTAGAGAAAAAATGAAATGAATGAGAAATGTTGTAAAGAATTTAAAGTTAAAAAAAATAAAAAATAGAAGAGGAAAGAAAATAAAAATCTCATTTCAGTTTATAATTTATTTGTATTCATATAAATAAATTAAACTGCAACAAATCTGCATTTTTTTTCTTGCAGAAAATATATCCATACTTATTCTCAATGTATATATGTAATCCATGCGTACAGCATTTATAATTTATATTATTTATCTTTTAAAATTCTTGATTGAATATATTAAAAGTTGTTTCGTATTATATAAACGCACGACAGAACACATATGCAAAGAGATAAAAACAAATATTACACCATGTTGAAAATGGTATCCTCCTCGTCAGCTTTATAAAGTGTCCATAGCGGAAAATATCCCAAATAACGTTATTTTATTTCATATATGTACTGTTTATATATTTTAGATCCTTTAACCTCCTTTTTCTGTTTTGAAACATAAAACTATTGTACACGAAATTTTATCCACTAGGTAGATAAAAACTGGTTGACCAGAGAGCGAAATAATCAATACATTGAAAATATTTGCATTTAGTGAAAATATAACAAATATTTTTAATCTTTTTCGTAACTGTCATTTTAATAAAAAATTGCGGTCAAACTAAACAAATTATATTACCTGCAAAATTGTATTAATCAATTTGCATGAATTTTGCATATGTTTTACATCGAAATTTATGCAATTAATTTAAATTGTTTATATATTTTAGTTTTTCACGCAATTATATAAAATATTCGCGCAACGTAATGAAATAGTTTCGTAACAAGTATAAAATATTACGTATACTTTTATTGTTAAAATAATCATTATTGTAGTTAGTAATAATTGCTAATATATGTAAATGCAACGTATGTATATGCGATTTATGTAAATACTTATATCTATTCTTTAAACATATACTTACAAAAAAATTTCAATTATTTCATTTTTCAATAATACGCATCTATGAAAGTAAAACAATGCTGCATAATTATATATATTTCTCACCTTTCATAAAAAATATTATACTTTACTCTTAATAACTAATGATTTTACCACAAAAAATGTATCGTAGTCGTAGCTGATTAAGAAAAATGTATGATGGAATAAATACGATACCTTGATTCATGAATTCCCGATTTTCAGAGAGGGTTTTATCCTCAGCTTGATATCGAATGGATTCGTGTCACGCGGCTGGAATTTATCTCTCTCTCTCTCTCTCGACGTTGAAAATTCACCGTTGCACTAGAACTAACGACAACAATTATCCGAAAAGTTGCCAACACGTTAAAAATGAGCGACACAAGGGGTTGTTATTGCATTGCGTGCTGCGTACTGCATGTTTGATGAACGTTAATTGAAATATTGAATCGTGTATAGTTCGAAGCGTATATGTACCTGATTAGTACATCCTACGTAACAAATGATCTGTAGTACAGATACTTTATTGACTGCTTTCTAACGTAAATAATAAAATAAATTATAATTATAAATTATTGTATATGTACAATTCTTTTCTTCATTAAAACTTATTTATAATGTGTTTTCTTTTTGTTTTAATTCATTTACAGATATTATGTCATACTTATTGAAATATAAAATATTTTTATTGTAATACATTAATTAACATAGCAATTAAATATGTTAAGATAACATTTATGTACTATTTTTGCGATTTAATAATTTCCTTCTTTTAAATAACTCACAATTTAGGCTTTTATAGATTTGATAAATTGATTATGAAATAGTTTATAATTATATTTATTTTATATACATATATATTTTTCCGTTTTAAAAGCGTGTACAAGGAAACGCATGAAAATCGAAACGTTTTAAGGCCTTTGACGTCTTTTAAGGCACTCAGACCAAGCCATTCCGTCACAGGGGCGAGATAAACGCTTGGTACAAGCCGAATGGAGCCCCCGCCAATTCCAGACGGTATAAAACCGTCTCGCTGCTTCCGGTATATTTATCTCGATGAAAGGCCTCGCGGTAACGGCTCGTGCATTACGGTGACGAACGCGCCTTTCGGAAACAAAAAGTTGGAAAAGCATCAGAATGGAGGCGTATCCACTCGTTCGTCGCGCGCAAGCAGAATGGAAAAAGCGAGACAACCATGTTAAATCTCAACGCTCAAAGGATGTCGTCAGAATCGCACGACAAAAAATCCTCCATTTATTTATGGATAATGATAAGTCGCAGATTGCGGAATACCTCGATTGCAGAAAAAGAAACATACTTGGAGGAAAAAGGAAACATCGTTCTCACGGGTCATGTAATCGATTCCGTGGAAAAATACTGGTGTGTCGTGATCGCGGCAATTATTATTTGAAAATAATGTATGAGTAAAAGTAGCTCGCTTTCAGTTTCCGACATATAAGTTCAAAAAGCTAGTCATTAAAAAAAACAAACGGTACGAATATCGTGAGCTTAAAATTCGCAAAAATTACATGGTTGCGACATTCGAAGGTACTGATTAAATTATTTTATATATTGAAGAGAATTATATATCACTGTGATGTACCAGAGGTGCTTTTCACTTGGAGTAAATTCCGATCTTCGCTCGGCAATGCAAAGCGCACTGCTACTGAATACGAACATATGGGAAGGACTTACCTTATAAGCGCATGTAACCAATGAGCTCTCTATTTGACAGCGCGATCCTCCAAGCCTCTATGCTCGAGTACTCGTAGTATTCGTCCTGCTTTATTCTACCCTCTTGACCAGGTGTGCAAGCGCTCGGCACAGCTTTCTTATTTAGGCGCGTATTCGGCCAAGTGGATCTGTAAGAAAACACGGGTCGATCGGAGTTTACACTGACATACATTGTGCGCAAATAAAAGTTTACGGTTTAAAGTGGACGTTCAAGCACTCAAGAATGTAGCCAGGTCCGACGAGCTTTAACTTCAAGCAATAATCGTGAAGTGGCTTTAAGGCGAAAATTCTAACGAGTTGTATTTAGAGCGAGATGCAAAACCAACAATACATAATTTATAAATTCCTGCCAGCTAATCCGTCGAATTTATAATATAATACTTATAAATAATTTAACATTTTCGAACGATATCATTTAATCATATACTTATTTAAAACAGAATTTTCTACTATTATTTATTGGAAATCCTATTTTCGCTCCAAACAATCGCTGTAATTTCTCATTTGTTTCTACACGATGTAACAGCAGAAAACACTTTTCTCGATATTTTATTTATTTTAAATCTCTGTCGCACAAATAAAATACAAAGGTAATCAGAGTAAAATAATTTTTCTCTCCATAAGCGTATCAGACGCACGTCTGATTTCAAAAAAATAAACGCGTATCCTAAAGAATCTCGGAAGATCATAGATATTAACAAAGGGACGGAAAGAATTTTAAGAGATGATTTTGGACACGAAGTCAATATATTCCAAGCACATGAATCACGTAAAAGGCTTAATAAATCAAACATCCATCGATTCGAGCCTCTGCCCTCGTTCCGAAGCCACATACTTTTTACAAAATGTAGGTAGACGCAGAGAATT